CCTACTCCTTGATCTGGGTATGCTTCCTACATGGACAAATTTGTCATTTTATCACAGAAGAAAAACTGACAGCGACAATATTTTTGAAAATTCCTGAGCTGTGCTCTCATTTTAATGCCTTAAGTAAACTAAGTGGTATCAGTTCTATCCATAACAGTATAGACTTTTTTCATTTTGAATTGCTCTAAATTATAAAGATGGACATTCCTTCCCCTCCACCACCCCCCCCCCACTTATTGTTGGGTTCTTCTGAATTATTCCTATTGTCCTTTCATTTCTCCTTTGAGAAACTTTTGCTGACTAGCACAGGAAAGTTAAAATCAAGATTCAAATCCAGCTGCTGATAAGAGTAGATGTATAATTCCTCATCCTGCCTCCCTCTTACAAAAGTATTTTTTAACAGAATAATTAGTGCACTATTTCAAATTATGTGAATTCATCTCCTGAATATGACTAGAGAAATACAATCGTATTTAATACCACATCTTTGTCCCACTGAACTCCCATTTCTACCAGAGTAAATGAGGCATTTGGGGGAATGGAGAGTAGCTGAACTGTCACACTTAAAAATGCCGTCACATGAAAAGGCCCCACTGTGTCACTCAGTGGGGATAACATTTTGGGTGCAGTGGAAGGCATTGAGCCTCTGCCTGTGTAGCACTCACAGCCTGTCACATTCTCGCTGTTGGACTTGACATCTGTAATTTGCATGTGATGAATGATAATTTGCTTTGATAACCTTTAATATCATCTTTACATTAATATAAATTACATGCAGAGTGCTTTACAAAAGACAGTCATCATCTGGTGCTTCTGACGAACTTTATGGAGAAATGTAGAAACCTCATGGTGCCAGAAAATAGGAAGTGATCAATAAAAATGACGGGGCAAGTCAAAAGGGCATCAAAAGAGCTCCCAAAGGCCGAAGCTGGAACAAAATAAATAACGATTTTATTGGATTATAACCCAAAGAATAAAAGTCCTGTCCCTATGGATATAAATAAATAATTGACTAAATAAGTAAATACGTCAGGGAGAGGGGCCAAGTCTTCCTTACTGAGGAATTCCAATTAATAAATAGAAAGAAAT